TCTAAATTCCTTCTCAGATAATTCTATTGCTTCCTCTTTCTCCATGTATAAACCTTTTTTTGTGGTTTTGCTTCTAATGCCTTGTCCTGTTTTTTTGTTTGATTTGAGGTTGCCTATCAGGAGCTCTGGTAGCATAGTGGCTAAAGCACTTGACCGCTAACCAGAAGGCTGGCGGTTCAAACCCACCAGCCACTCCTTGGAAGGAAGGTTGGGCAATCCTACTTCTGTAGTGATACTGCCCTGGAAACCCAAGGAGGGGTCGCTATGAGTTGGGGCCGACTCAATGGCACATAACAACAACAACATTGTTTCCTAGACATTTTGATGTTGTTTTCAACTGTTGGTTATGTTTTGATTTGTTTTGTCTTGGTTTTATGGTTTAATATTTTGAAAAGGTGAAGCTGGTGTATTTTATTTTATTTAGTTATTAATTCAGGTACACTGGGTTGCTCTGCAGTTTTCTTTGCAATGGTAGAATCACTGTGTGGAATGTGGATATGGGTTTCTGTTTGTCATAAAGAGCGTTTAGAGTTTGAACCGAGAGGTTTTATGTTGGCTGAATTTGGTTTCTCTATTGGATGAGTGAAGTTATTGGCAGAGAAGGTGAGAGCAGAAAAAGGAAAGCTTGCTCTTGCTAGGGGTGGTTCCTAGGGCTTTGAGTGGGCTGCTACTGATGACATCATACTGTTATTTACAGGCCCACAGCTCAATTTCAGGAAAGACTCCAGTTGTTAGAGGGTCCTCACTTTCCGCCAGGCTCAAACACATGCAAAAACCCCACTCCTGAGGCCCCTCAGTGCCAAAAAGCTGACCCAAGGCAACTTTCGAGCTCTGTGATCTGTCGCAGGTGTTTCTCTCTTTGGCCCCACCTGTCGGTGATGCCAGCCCAACCTGCCCAGACCGCGATCAGCTCGGGAATTTGTGAGTCCACCCACCTGCAGTGACAAAGATGCGCTCGGTTTCAGCTGCACTGGAGTCGGGAGAGTGCCTGCTAGTAATCTGTGGTCCCAATATTAGTGATAAAGTCAAGTGCAGACCTCTCAGTGCCACTAAGCTGACTCAAGCCTATTCAGTGACCCGCTGAGGGGGGAGCGAGCCCACACTCCTAGAGCACCAGTGGACTCTGTGCTTGGGTTTCAGTGGTGCTGGACATGCCCGTTTATACCTAGCCAACCCAAGTTACCAATAAAATCAGGTGCTGAAGGTCCTTGGGGTGATTGCTGGTATACTGGTGTGGTCACTGGTATGCTGGTATGGAGTGTCTCCTGCCTTGACCCAGGGAAGTCATGGATGGCCATTCTCGCCTGCCAGTCACTCCCCCTGGGAAGTCTGTAATGGCCTTTCTCGGCTGCCTGTCCGCACTCTACAGGATAGATCTTCTTTTGTTTCTTCCCCTGTATCTTTCTTCTAATTATACTCCTCTGAGTTTGGTACACTCTGACTCAGTAAGCTGTTCAGAGCACCAAAATTCCTAATTCAAACTTCTGTACCTAGTTTTTAAGCACTAAGATACTAGAGAGAAATAGTGTTGTGATTACTGAAGAGACTCCATTTTGAATCCACCTCTTTCTTCCTAGTCTGTCTGAGTCTGGAAGCTCTGCTGAAACCTGTCCACTATGGGTGACCCTGCTGATATTTGAAATACCAGTGACAGTTTCCAGCAGCACAACAACATGTAAGCCACCACAGTATGACAAACTGACAGACGAGTGGTGGTCACTCATCATAGTGATTTCAATATCCAACACCTTATTCTCTCAAGTTTTGGTCCTTTTCCCTAACTTAGCTACTCACACCAGTGTCAGATTATCCAATAAGCAAGATAAGCACAGGCTTATTTGTGCTTAGTTACTAATTTGTGGTGAACAATTTTGCATTTTTTCACCCCATGAAAGATTCTGCTTCTAGGTGTGGCCGGCTCCTGTCTCTCCCAACCCCACAGAATCTTCCTTCAGAATCAAAGCCTCTTTTCAAACTTACAATCATGACAGGGTGAAGTACCCAAAAAGCAAGGTAAGCATGAACTTATTTGTGCTTATTTACTAATCTGTAGTGAACAGTTTCACATGTTTTTGTTCACTACAGATTAGTAAGTAAGCACAAATAAGCTCATGCTTATTGGGTAATATCCCTGCTCATGCCCAAGGTCATGCCCCAGAATTGGGTGTCCAATATGGGATCCACTTGCTGCATGTGGTGACTCAAGTTTAAATTTAAATTAATTAAAAGAAAAAAAAAAATAAAAATTTGGTTCTCAGTTGCATTAGTATTTACACTAGTCACATTACCCTATTGGATAGCACAGATACAAGCCATTTCCACCATTGTAGAAAGTTATATTGGACAGCCCTGCAGCCTACATCTTGCCATTATTAATACCAGAAACATCTCCGGAATCTCATTGTCAAACATCTAACTTTCTGACCACCATCTCCATCCCTTCCACAGTTCTGTGAACCCCCTACCGTCAACAATTCACTGAGAGTCACCATCTCACAGCCCTTCACCCACCTGGCATCCTGCTTAAATCTCATCAGCAACCACTATCTGGCATCCACCTCAGTGCCTGGCCCTTATCTTGTCTTGTCATCCTTGCTTGGTTGAGCAAAGTTGAACCCTTGGGTTCAGGGCAGCTCTCCCTCTACTCACTGCCTGCATTCACACAACTGAATGTGGCTGGAGGGAATGCCCAGACATGCTGATCAATTTCATTCTGAATGCTGGACCTCAAAATTTAAGTGGCCATGAAAGCTCTTTGGCAATTGTGCAGTATTATTTCCATCATACCCTCTCTTGCTCACTTTCCCAGATGTCTATTTCACACCCCTTCTCTCTTTTTTTAAACCTCCAATATTCTTTTCTTCCTCAGCTCACAACCTTGTTACTATTTCCCTGAGCACCCACTACCACACTAACCTCTACCTTCTCTGTTAATAGGGACTGTAGTATACATATGACAAACTCCTCCACTGCGAACTAAGTCCTGTCTCTTCTCCCTTCTCTTTAATTTACAACTACCACCACACTGGATTATTACAATAGGCATACAAGAATGATGTTATTTCTTTCATCTTAACAACAACAACAACATTTTTCCTTGATTGCCATTTCTCTTTCCTTTACAGCAAAATAACTTGAATATAGTAAGTTCCAGCTGTCTCCAATTTCTCTCTTCCATTCTCTGTTAACCTTCTCTACTCAATTTTCCACTCCCATACTACACACAAATCACCCTTATTAAGAGCACCAATGACTTTGCATTTCTAAATCTAACAGCCATTTCTCACAGCTCATGTAACCAATCAGCAGCATTTGACAAAGCTGGTTACTTCCTCCATCTTGACACCCTTTTTTCATTTCTTCCAGGCTTCCCCACTGTCCTGGCTTTCTTCCTACTTCTCTAGCTGCTCCTTCTCTGCTCCTCACCAACCTGACTTCTAAATGCTGGAGTATACCAAGACTTAGATCTCAGGTCTCTTATCTTTTCTGCCTACCACTCACCTTTTGGATCTCATACATACAATTGCATGGCTTTAAAAACCATCTATATTCTGATGTCTCCAACCTGGACCTTTCATCTAAACTCCCGTATTTCTAATGGCTCTCTTGACCTGTCCCTTGGGTGTCAATAGGCACTTCAAATTCAAAATGATTGCAATTACTCTTTCTCTCCAAACCTACTTCTCTCCAGTCTTTCAAACTCAGTTTCAACAGCCCAGGTAGTACTTGGCCCAATTTACAATAGAGTCTATGATTATAGCACAGTGTAAGTAATGATCATGCACAGTGGTTACAAGTATGGGCTCTGATGTCAGATGCCTTGATCCTACATTTATATTTGGTGTTAACAGAGGAATCACTTAACTTCTGTAGGCTTCATCTGTATAACGGGACTGAGCGTAGTGCCTTAGGCACTATGCCACCAGAACTTCCAATATCAAGTGAGTGCTCAATAAATGCTGGTTATATCAGACCTGAAGAACCTTAGAAACCATAAAAGAGCAAATTATGTTGATTTTTGTTTCTATGTATGGCAGCATTTGTTTTGGAAAAACATTGACATTTGACTCATATCCTGATTTTGTAAATTACCTTTCTTGCTTTCTGCCTGCCCTTCTGAATTCTAATTCTCTGGCATATGCATTTTAACAACAAACCAAAATCAAAACCAATCCCACTGTAATTGAATCAATTCTGACTCATAGCAACCCCCATTGGGTTTCCGAGGCAGTAAATCTTTACGGAAGTCGATAGTCCCATCTTCCTTCCACAGAGCGGCTGGTGGGTTTGAACCACCAACCATGTGGTTAGCAGTCAAATCTCTTAGGCACTATGCCACCAGAGATCCTTTTTAACAACAAGGCAGGTATAATAAAATTAATATTTCTTTAAAAAATTAAGGAAAAAAAATATGGCTTCTCAGTGTGAAAAGGCAATACTAGCATGTGTGTATATTAATGGCTACTTCTTGTGGGTCATCCATGTACTGGTGTGAAATTTTTCCCTCCAAATATGTCAATAGAATTGGGAATATTAAATCAGACAAATGGATGTATATGCCAAGACAGGGGAATGCCACAAAAGTGTACTGTGAATAAAATGAATACATTTTTAGTCTCTGAGTACTGGTCAAATTCATGTATTTTTGGAGCTGTTTAGCAACTTGATATAGTCAATTAATTGGAATTCACCCTTCTGTGACAAATCTTGCAGAAAAAGTGAATCTCTGCTTTGCTTTTAATAAGCAGATTATGCTTGACATGAGACGGGGCCATGCTTCCCAGTGGAGAGCTGGCTTCCTTTCAGAAAAGGAGAAGCGCTCCCTAGTGGGTTGCTTGGATCCACTTCTAGAAAAAACAGCCACAAGATGGGACATGTGGAGGCCGTTTCCCCACATTCAGGAGGAGCCCATCTGGTGTCCAAACAAATGCTGTAGCCAAAGAATCTAAGAGGAAGACAAACATGTGAATTCAGGAATGAGGAGAGAGCTGCAAACCTACCGTGACAAAAACAGAGGCCAGGAGCAAGCCCACAGAGTAGATCAGTCCCCTGCTGTTCAAACGGATCTGTAACAAAGGGTTACAGAGTGAGTCATCTGCTTAATGCATGACACTCAGACAACTCTGAATAGCATTGATTCCAAATCCCTCCCCTAGGATGGAAAAGCTAAGGAAAGTCTCAGTACCCATATTCTACAGCTTGTATCTGGGATGCAGTCTTTCTTGAAACACTCCCAGGTATGCTTGTCTCAGTCCACTCTCAGCCTAGACCTTGTCCTTTACTCTCAACAGTGATGCCATACCTGGGACTGTCCCACACCACTTTAATTCTCCATTGTGTTCAGCATGATTTTTGTTGCCCTAATCACTTCCTTGTTGATTTGACCTCCAGGGAACTTTCCCTTTCTTGAACTCATATAATTTTGGGGGTGAATTTCATAATATTGGTGATGGGAGCAGTATTTTGAATGGATTTTTAAATCCCTCTTACATTAATATGTCTCTAACCTTCCCCCAACAGGAAAAGGTGAATAAGGTTGTTACAATGGAAAAGCAAATCCAAAGAGTTGAAATTCTGTTTCTAGTATTTGTAAAAGAATTTTGTTTGTTTTTCACAGTAGTGCAATGGGATTAACAGTCAAGCTTTAATCACACTGCAAGAGAGAAACAAGTTCTGGAATTCATACAGACCAGCTCTGTGCAGTAGGTGCTCTGGTGGCATAGTGGTTAACACATTCAACTGCTAACCAACCATTCAGCAGTTCAAACCCACTAGACACTCTGCAGCAGAAAGATGAGGCAGTCTGCTTCTGTAAGATTTACAGCCTTGGAAATCCTGTGGGGCACTTCTATTCTGTCCTATAGGGTTGTTATGAGTTGGAACAGACTTCATGGCAGTGGGTTTGGTGTTTCAATTAGCTCCATCCAGTAGAACTTTTTGTGATGATGTGAATATTCTGTATCTGTTCTGTCCAATATGTTAGCCACCAGACCTATATGGCTCTTGAGCACTTGAAATGTGCAACCAAGGGACAAAATTTTAATTCTTGTTTAATTTCAAATTAATTTAAATTAATTAAGTATGTCTACTGTGTTGGCCAAAGCAGGTAGAGAAAAGTAAAGGGCTGACCTGGTTAACAGAGATCATGGAGTCTCTTCCATAGTAGAGAGAAGACACCTTTTGACCTGATCATGAGGTGCCTGAAGTAGAAAAGTATGCCTTGGAGCCGCAGTTCTCAAAGTGTGGTACCTGGGTCAGCATCAGCAGCCCCTGAGAGCTAGTGAGAAATGCAGAAACCAGGCCAAACCCCAGACCTATCCAATGCTGATGAGTCAATTCTGACTTGTAGCAACCCTATAGGGCAGAACACAACTGCCCCAAAGGGTTTGCAAAGCTGTAAATATTTACAGACGCAAACTGCCACATCTTTATTTATGCCATCCTTGGGAGCAGCCTGGAATGCAAACATTTGGAAATCCTTTTGTGTTCTTAGTTTTCAGCACTGTACTGATTCTTCTAAGATCAGAACAGGGCAGAATCTTCCCAGCCCTGTTTACCTGCTGAGCTCTGGGGCCCAACCCTTGTCAGTAATAAGAACTGAATCAAGTGTTTTCTTGCCCTTAAGAGACTGAGAGCCAGGGAGCAAAGTTCCAGGCAGGAAATTTCTCTCTGACTGAAGATTTTCCAAATTAATCATGTTAAATCCAATTTGTGAACTTGACTCTTCCTACATTCACATAAAATCTGGAAGAACACTACTGCTGACATTCTAAATCTGGCTCCAAACTACAACTAATCATTTTGTGGGGTTCAGAGTATTTTTCACATTGTCACCTTCTTCTCTACAATCTTCCTGCTACATGTACCCAAAGATATGTCTTTGTTTTTTTCATTGTTAATTTAAGGCCTGAGCCCATGAAGCCTCCATTTATTCTTTGCTGCCTGACCCCCACACTTCTACAGGAAATGGTAGTCAGGAATTAGGGTACATCAATTGCCTTTTGGTCCAATTTAAATACCTCCCAGCCTCTGGGAACTAAAGCATTATGGTTTGGGGCAGAGGCTAGCTAACTTACAGCCCACAAGACAAACAGCCTGTCACCTTTTTTTGTACATAAAGTGTTATTGGAACCTAGCTTATTAGTTTACTTATTTTCTTGGATACTTTGTGCTAACATGGCAGAGTTGAGTAGTTTTGAGAGAAATGGTACACAGACCACAAAACCTAGGATGCTTACTTTCTGGCCTTTTACAGAAAGTTTTCCAATCCCTGGCTTAGGGAATGGGCTCCAGATCAAACCTCTGGATTTTGAATTGCAACTCAGCCACTCACTTGCATACAGTCATAGACAAGGGACTTCACTTCCCTAAGCCTGAGCTGTTATCAGATGGATCTTGGCTGGAAACAGAGAATTCTTGAAAGATATATATCCATGTTTTATTAACTATGTAAATGCATTTGACTATGTGGATCATAACAAATTATGGGTAACATTGTAAAGAAGGAGAATTTCAGGACATTTAATAGTGCTCATTGGAACCTGTACATAGATCAAGAGGTAGTTGTTAGAACAGAACAATGGGGTACTGTGTGGCTTAAAATCAGGAAAGGTGTGTGTCCTGTGTCAAGGCTGTATCCTTTCAACATATTTATTCAATCTGTGTGCTGAGCAAATAATCTGAGAAGATGGACTATATAAAGAACAACACAGCATCAGGATTGAAGGAAGACTCATTAACAACCTGTGACATGCAGATAACACAACTTTACTTATTGAAAATGAAGAATTAAAGCACTTACTGATGAAGATAAAAGATTATAGCCTTCAGTTTGGATTACACTTCAACATACAGAAAGCAAAAATTCCCACAATTGGACAAATATACATCATCATGATAAATGGAGAAAAAATTGAACTTGCCAACTATTTCATTTCACTTGGATCCACAATTAACATCTATGGAAGCAGCAGTCAAGAAATCAAATGACGAGTTTCGGCAAGATGGCAGACTAGGCAGAAAGACTGCACAGACCCTCTTCAAAAAAGAAAAGGCAAGCCAATTAACACAGACACAGAAGATAATCTTGGATGCCTGAGCCGTGGAGGGAAGGTTATAAAACTGGACTAAACCCCAACTAGCAGAAGAATTTGTGTGAAAATACCAAAAAAGGAGACATATGGAGCTGCGGTCTGGCAACAATCCTGAGTGATCCTGATGGCACAGACAGCTTGGAGATTCCCGAGTGGTGTTAGGAGCTAAGAATTAACCTAAAAATCACCCTACTAGCCAAGGACTGCATGGAGGACTGTTCATGGTGGCTGGAGAACAAACGGAGAAGGTGAAGAGAAAGGTGGGCTGAACTGTGGACTTTTGCCAGTCCAGAGGATGCCACCATTTTGAAGGTTTAAAAAGCGGCTTGACTATTTTGGATATTTAAAGAGACAGTGCTCTTGCAGATTCCTGGAGCATAAGAACATGTTCTGCTTTCCAGAAATCCCAAGGACACTTGAGACCTGCAAGACTGAAAAGGCCAACAATAAAAAACCACCAAGAGTTCCGGTAAGATAGTGGACTGGCAGAAGGACTGCACGGACCCTCTTCAACAAAGAAAAGGGAAACCAATTTACACAGTCACAGAAGATAATCTTGGACACCTGAGCCTTGAAGGGAAGGATACAGAAGTGGATTAAACCCCAACTACCAGAAGAATTTGTGTGAAAATACCAAAAAAAGAAGGAGACATATGGAGCTGTGGTCTGACAGCGAACTGAGCGACCCTGACAGTACAGGTGGCTTGGAGATTCCTGACTGGTGGTAGGACCTAAGAATTAACCTAAAAATCACCCTGCTA